AACAATCAAACATAGTTGGTTAGTTTTCAATCAACAATAAGAAAAACTATGCCTACAAATGATAGTTATAACATATTCGACTTATTTTCAAAGAGCATAACGCAAAAAGAAAACATTAAAAAACTATATTATGATGACAATGATAATGATCGTTATTTTTAAGCATAATGAGTTATCATTAGATAACAAAATCAAAGACGACATAAATTTTTTTGGCATTTAAAATTAAAAAAAATAATAATAATTTTACTGTGGATTTTCAAACCAATATTTTTTATTTAATTTTATGTCACAGTTTGATAAAAAGTATTAAATATTATATTTCATCATTTAATACATTTATTATTGATTATTATAAAATAAATAACCTTTTTATTAACTAATGGAATGAAAATTATATTATACTATTAAATGTAAATTTAATAATAAAAATAATTTTAAGTAAAGAAAAAATGATTAATATCACGTGTGTAGCACGTGCATCTTCTTAGTCATTTAAATTTCATCAAACGAAAATTTGGAAAAAGTTTGGACAATAATATGCAGCCACATTTGCACAATCAGACAACTAAGAGAGCATCGCAACTACACAAGTTTGCAGCCAAAATCCCTAATCAAGGAACCATTAATATGACTTCGGTTCCTATTTGAACAGAACTTACTAAAATAAAGGGAAATCGTTAAAATAAATTACAAGCATTCCATAGAACATTTGATTCTGCGAAACCGAATTAGGTTGAATAAGTTCCGACAGTTAAAAAGTCCAAAGGCTGGTTACCCATTTTCTGGCAATGAGATCTTTGAAAGATAAGCATATGTGAAAACCTAGTACAGGGACAGTTAGTTGAGAAAAGTGAATTATGTCCAGTTCTAGAGAGCATGAACTAAGACAAGTCAGTCAGGCCATTACCGAGTTACAGTGAGCTTTGGCGAACCATGTATATTTTATTTTTCATGAGAAGTTCCCCTTAGCATCAGAAGTGGAGTTCAGATATGACATCACAAGATCTGCTGCTTGGCACCCACTTGTTATTGCTTTGCCAACAGACAATCCTCCCTTGTGGTTGCCTTTTTTAGTGACAACGAGATAAGTATAGGTGAATTCAAGGTTACAAAAGGAGATGAGCAAGCAACCAACACATATTGTAGTCTCCATGAATGCTCATGTTTTCTGTCTAGCTTGACTTGCTATGTTCCTTCAGTTTATGATTTTTACTACAGTAACTCTACATATCTACATCTAAGTATCAATGCCTGTATCATATTATAAGGAAAGAACAACAAAGCAGCAAACTTAAATGTTGCAGTCATTTGAGATTGCAGTGAGCATAATTTAGCAAGTGAATGGGCACCTCTTCTAATGAGAGTTAAGAATTTTCTTCAACTGTTTACTGAAAAGAGGTTAATAAAAATGAAAGGAAATATGCCACACAAAATAGAAGTAATAAAACTTGAATGGCAAAGCCACATTAAAGAATATAAGATGAAGACTCTTACCAGCATAGAAAAACCCTGGAAGGCCTCTTTCCATCTTGTCAATAGCTTGAATGACAGAGTCATAGTTATGACCATACAATGGAAATGCTTTACTCCAATAGAAGTGACTGCAATCAAGCACACAGCCTGTAAGAGAACATGCCCATGGCAGGTTCCTTCACAACTAGATCTCTTGAATTGAGAAACCTAGAAAAACAATTTGAATTTAGCATAATTACTTCATAAAGGTAGGTTCTCCTTCTGCACCCAATAGCTGTCTGAGATCAGAAGTCACTATTTGCTTCAATTCATCCCTATGACATGAATTATTGAAACCGTGAATACAAGACGTGCACAAGTAAGAGATTGGTAATATAACTTGGGCAAAAGAACCAGAATATACAAAAAAAGGAAAAAAGCAACAAAAAAAAGGAGCAAGCACTAAACCAACAATATAGAAGTTGTTACAACCTCGAAGCTTTGGCAAGTTCTTGATTTCTACTTCCACCAACAAATGTGGTGTAGAGATAAAGATCAGCAGGTGCACGATCTGGGAACATCATTGAAGAGAATAGCGTGCCTGGATGGAGAAACTTTAGAGAAAAACAAAATGAACGACATCAGAGGATATGCAACCTCAAAATTCAGCATTACCCAAAGTCTTCAGACCATTTTGTTGCTCTTTTGAAGGTACAAGAACTCCGAAACCTTCAAGCGGTCGCTTCACGTTCTCACGCTTAAATGTGGTGACGACAACAGACATGGGTAAGTAACTAACCTGCACATATAGGCAGAACGATTGAAAGATTCAAAATGGGCTACACATCACAATGAGTTTCAAAAATCAATGACTCTGGTATATGTGTGATTAAGGTAAAAAAAAAGTGCAAATTATGGTGTTCTGATTCTGTCAGTAAAATCCTTCTCCAAAGTCCAAACACAACTAACTTTGAGACTTTAATATCATATAGCAGTTGCAGAAACTTTTGACCAGAAATTTTAGCGTAGATACGATATGTTGTGGATAGCAAGTAATATTTGTATTCCAGTTGCAGCCTTTATCTTATTTCAGGTACTTTCTTGTTTGACTCGTGACTTCTGAAAATATGACTCTGGGTATCACTAGTTGTCTTCTCTGTTTCTAAGATTACAGATCAAAGGTCAAAAATGGAACTAATATTCTAGACTGGAATAAGACATTCAAAACTGAAGAGTAAATTTTTTGAGAAATTCCCAAGGTGTATCATCTTCCGGAGTCTTTATATGGGTTGAAACAGAGCCTGGTCTGGAAATTCAGTCAGTCAGTTGAAAGTTGAAAATTTTCGGATGCTGAAGTGTAAAATTGATCATACAGTGTTTTAAGACAATCCGCTTCCAGGATCATTGTATTTGTTGTCTATGTAGAAGAACAGTAATAACTGGCAAGGTATTTCGGCTTCGGAACTATCCTTGCAGGATCAGTTTAGTACTAAGGATTTGGGGCCTTGAAATACTTTCTTGGGATTTGTTCGAAGTTATATTTGCCCCACAATGATTAGTTAACGGACTGTTATTGTGTAGGAGTGGGTTAGGCACCCTCTCCTTTTTAGTTAGCTTTTGGGGAGTTCTGCCCAAGCCCATTTATCATGGGTACTAGAGCACCCATGTTTGTTCGTTTGGAGGCGATGGTGGGTTTTGAACCCGGCCCATTTGGTTTGGCACACTGTGCGTAAGGGTGGGTGTTAGAACTTATGCTTGTCCCACATAGATCAGTTACAAGGGTGTTATTGTGTATTAGTGTGTGGGTTGGGCACCATCTCCCTTTGAGCTAGCTTTTGGGATGAGTTCTACCCAAGCCCATCTATCAGGATTGAAGTATTGAGGATTAGTAAAGGTATCTTTCTCTCACAGCTAAAGTATGACTTAGATTTGTTAACAGAAACTGGAAAACTAGGAGCCAAGCCATGTAATACTTCAATGCTCCCTAGACATACAATATCGAGTCTTTTACGGATGCAAATTGCGCCAGTTCAAAGATACACAGGAAGTTCATTACTGGATATTGTGATTTTATTGATGTGAACCTAGTTTCATTGAGGAAACCTAGTTTAAGAAGCAGAATGTGGCATCACAATCTCGTGCATAATAAGAATATAGAACAATGGTGTTAGCTTCATGCAAATTGCAAAGTACTATGGCTCTCACAATTTTAATATGAAAATGGACTCGGATCCTGCAACAATCACGCAGCAACTTACATTGCCTCAAATCCCGGCTCTCATGAACGAACCAAACATATTGAGATTGGTTGTGCCTTTGTTCGTGAGAGGATTCAATAAAACTTGATTTGTACAAAATATGTGGAAACTGGGGAACAGCTGGGAGACATCTTCACCAAAAGGCCTCAATGGAGTGCAAGTTAAATTTGTAACAAGTTGGGCATGATAGAATTCAATTCCCAGCTTAAGGAGAAGTGTAGTAGATATAAATATGTAAATATATATATTCTAAGATACAGCCTATTTAAGGATATTTATTTTACTAGTAAGGTGCACGTGCTTCGCACGTAAACCATATAATTTGTCTAATTGAATTTGCATGGTTTTAAGTTGATTTGAGAAAAATATATTATTTATGATATACATTTTAAGTTAAATATAAGTATATATAAGTAAAAAATTGCTAGAATCATACATATATATTTATTATGAGAAACAAATTGTTAAAGGCGTGATTATATATGAGTTATAACCGGTCGGTTATAATCGGTTGAGTTATTTCATATCCAATCATTTAACGCAAAAGAAAACTCAACTTAACTCTCTTACTTATTATATATATAAACAATCATTTTCATACATCACATCAATTTTTATGTACTATTCATCTACTAACATAATTATAATCACCTATCACTTTCGATAATCTTTCTCCTACTTTTACATCACATCAGTTTTAATCATTATATTTTAGATACTATTTAATTCCAAACTCAAAATCATCCACTCTTTATACTTTATTCAAACTAACTCACTTTGACTAATTTTAGCCAAAAAAAAAAAAATTGGTCAAAACTGGTTGGATTCATATACAATCGTGCCTAAGAAGTCAACAAATATTCATTTTGGAAAGTTGAAGACAATCAATTTGCTAAGTAAACAAATGTTTCAAGTAAAATTCAATAAATATTGAAGACACGTACACAAAGTTTTAAATTTTATTTGAAAATAATATGATAATATGAACATGGTAAAATTTGCCTAAAAAGTTATTGTAATACTACTAGAACAATGGGTTATATCTATTAGCATTTATATTTCAATTTTAATTTAAATATTTTACCTATCGTATTTAACATGTTACTTATTAATCATCTTAATCTATGTCCTAGTAAACATTAAATATAAACAATTTGAATTAGGTATATTCACTTTTATCTAAGAGTACAGATAAGTATTGAACTCGATACAAAATATTTGCATACTGCAAAAGTATAATGAATTTTGACATATTAAAGTAAGGGTAAGTAAAAAGTAAATATATGGATGAAATTCTTATATTTAATATAAAAATTAAATGATGAAGGTTATTACCGAAAAAGTCATAGTAAAGTGTGATTGTCTTTATAGAAAATATTTATTTGTGTCTTCATTGAGAAATATGATTTAACAGTTGTCCACGTTGATACCTAAAAATGGAAATTATAAATGTCATCTCATTCTTACAAAATTATAGATGAAATAAGTTTGATTATGTGAAAAAAAAATGTGGATAGTTCGTTTATTTGTCTCTCTTCAATTTACTTTTCGTTCATCATTTGTTTGCATCAATTGATACCAACCATTACCCTTAATTATGTTTATTTCATATTAAATTTTGTCAAGTAAATTGCTGAATAATTATTCTATATGGAAGGGATATATTAATGCAACAAAAAAAAAAGTATATAAACTACAAACGGAAATTCAGAATTTTAATACTACACCAACAATTTACATCTATATAAAAGGAATAGCCAATTTCTATTTTGCTATATTTTTAGTAAGAAATTTTTCTATCAAAAGTTTTTTTGGAGAAAATTAGATTTTTTTTCCTTTTCTTAATTTGATACACAATTTAATGTTTTCATGATTTTACAATCCATTATTGTCATTATATTTGAAAAATTTATAACTAATTAATTTGGTCAAATAAGTGTTATATGGATGATTAAATTAAAAATATGACATTATACAAAAATTAAGATACATTTTTATATAGAAGCAAATAATTTTGTAATGTAATAGACACGTGCTATAGATCTATGCCCTTTAAATTGTTTTAGTATTTCTACTGTTTCAAGTTTATGATTAATATTTTATGTACTTAATTTGGCCAACCTACATAAAAAAAAAAAAATTCATAGTTGTATAAAATTATTATTCAAACACAAGTCATTAAAATTTAAAAATTAAATCAAATATACAAAATAATATATGTACACTTTTAAATATATTTATATAGATACATATATAAAAAAAAAAAACTAAGATAATAAAATAAGAAAAATTATTATTTACTCCAAATAAATCTTAAGCATCTAACATGGTGACATATGACTAGACCCTCATAGTGGGTAACACATTGAAAACGTAAATAAAAAATGTGTGTGAAGTTAGTTTCTTAAATAATTATTTAACATGAAATACCACATGTTAGTGCATTTTTCCCGCATTAGTTTGAAAAACATTATGCTAAAAATAAATACAAAAATGTTAAAAGGGATAAATAACTATTTCAAGCGTCAGTTACGTACATAGCATTAAAATGAAAATGACATTAAAATGAAGAACTAATGGCGCTCATAAATCATAGGTGTATTATTTGCTCAAAGTAAAAATAAAAAATAACAATATATAATTTTATAAAATTAAAGTGTAGAAGTAATTAATAACTTTCATATAATATAAGTTAAATATTAAATTGTTATTATGAAAATATAATAAAATGTTATTTAATAATAAATCATTTTAATTATGGTACTACAATTTGTGTGTTGTATGGGTGGATAAGCTAGTATTAGTTAAGCGTTTCACAAGCCTTTTGCACTTTAGTCGTTTATTTTTCATCCGCATGTGTTTCGATTAACACAAAAGCAAGTGAACTATTTCTGTAAGAAATTTTTCCACCCAAAATTTATTGAAGAAAATTAGAAAGTTAACAAAATGTTAAGCCATTAAAAATTACGAAGTAATTAATAACTTATAAAAAAATATAAGTAAAAATCAAATTGTTATTATAAAAATTAACCAAATATAAAATGGAAAGAAATATTTATATAAATAAGAAACAATTACTACTCTCTCTCATTAAATGGACTCTTAACAAATGACAATTAAGCCATCAAAAGATTAAAAGAGTAAGGGTAATTTTGTCTATCCAAATTTTTACAAAAACATTCACACTTTTAAGTTAGTAGAGATAGAGATAGAGAAGAAGTAGAGATAGAGATAGAGATAGATAGAGATAGAGATAGAGATTTGATTTTTATACCTCTTCCCAAGAATAGACCTGTAAATATAAGTCGTACTCTTCTATCGATTGTAACATACATAACTTGAGTCTCTCTTATTACATGATTGAACCCTGAATCTGTTAATAGGAAAGCACCAGAATGCATACCTCCGGAATGAAGTCCAAGAGAAATGGGCTTTCTCGTCTTGTAATCTTCATTTCTTTAACATTAGAAAGGGGGGCCTGCGGAAGGACACTTGGAGTCAATAAAATCTCATCATGTGCACTACCTACCAACCAAACTTCTCTTCATAATCATCATGGCACTTAATCCTCATATACTTAATCTAGCCACATAGTATATGAGGATTGAGTCAATAAACGCCAGTTTTTTACCATTTGAAACTGGATTTGGTAGTTCAAAACCTGGTTTTGGAAAGAGTTTGAAAAATCCGTAAATATCGGAAAGCAATTTGTCAGCTTTAAATCAATGGGAGGTGAAGTGTAAAATTTTGAATAGAAAGGCACACAAAATTTAACTAATTAGTAATCTCTGTGCACTTACTGTAACTATTAGAGCATCAAAGGACTTCTCGCAGGTACGTTTTATGCCATCCAATTCATAACAAACTGACCACTTATTTAATGGAGAATTCTTGCTGTCACAACAAGATAACTCCAGCACCCTAGAACGAACTGTAAGTTCATCCTTACCAAGTTCATTGGACAGTGCATCAGTGAGTGTCTGTAAACATATAAACAAAATGCACCTTAGCTGAGAGCCATCAATGGAACTAAAGTTGCAGGGATGTGACCAAATCAAATTACAATGGTTTGAAGTTACCAGTTGATACTTTCAGCCAACTTCTGGAACAAAAATATTAATACAAGTATACCAGATAAATGTTTCTGGTTAAATGACTCCTCACAAGCAACTCCATTAGTCTGACACATCCAACCACTTCACACAGAGGATTCATATAAAGTACCAGAAAACTCACATGTTTTTGGGTTGTATTGCAGCACCAATGTGTGAAAAAAAATAACTAGTGTCTCAGCACTACTGCTACATAAATAAATTACTTTATAGATATATATTGAGGTTTTAAATTATTCATCGACTGCCCAAACAAGAGGTTTGAAGTTTGATGTGCATTAGACTCCTACCTGCATCCCGCCTACAAAAGAAAATGAACCACGCTTATGTTTCTTCTTTGGCGAAGAGCCACCACTTGTTCCTTTCCTGTCAGAAAACTTAGACTGAATAGCACCAGCTATGATTGAGCCAAACCTGCAAATTGCAGAAAAAATTTGAACTGACCTAAAAATGATGTCATTGTCCACTAGCAAGAGACCAATATGTTTGAAATTGTTTCTGGAAGGCTTTTACTATTATACTATTAATACATTTAAAAATAAAATGTTATCAAATGATAATTTTATGAAGTTCAGCGATGAAGTATCTAAATGCACTCTAATATATCAACATTGCTGCTGAAAGAGGAAATCGTTTCGGCACTTAAAAATCCTTATCAATCTTATGATTTTGATCATTCCGAAGTAGTACTTGAAGTTTACATTATCACCATCCATCCTAAAATGGCAAGTACATTAATCTTTATCCATCAATTCATGGATAATTTAATCCCAGTTATGTGCAATAGCACCATAAAAATGAAAAGGAGCTAGTCCAAATAAACATTGCATGCAGCTTACCTTTTTTCAAGATTCCACAACTCTGGAAACACATGGCGCATCTGATCCAGGATAAAAGAAAGACAAAGCGTTCATCAACAATCAACCAGTTCATGTGTAATGGGTAGTAAACTGAATTTCACCCAAGCTCAGTAGAGCAACATGCGTAAGAAAACTCATCAATCAACTAATTAGATATGCATTTGTCTATTTCCTTTGCTATTAAAATTGTTAGACTAGGCAGGCAAACCAACCAATGAACATATACACACTTACAGAAAGAGATTCAGGATCTCCGCCATTAGTTCCAGCCACAAAAGGATCAATAAGATAGTCAACAACCTAAAAGAAGTGTACTGCTGTTAGGCCACATTCAATCACTATGCAGATATGATAAAACAAAAATGTAAAAAATTGTATAACAAACATAAGTACACAAATAGTATCTTTTCTAGTTTAGGACCTCCATCATATTAGACATATAACAACGAGCATTCATAAATCTCGACCAAGAGGAGAAACTCATTAAGCTCAAAGTTAACCGCAGCCTCCTTGTTCATGTGTGATTTTACACCATATTTATGTAGTGTCTAGAGCTTATTCATTGCGTTATTGGCGTATATATTGCATTATTGTGCTTTAATTCTATTTTTGTTAGAAAGGTATTACACGTGATTGTTTTGTAGATATTTCAACATATTTGTAGAGCTTTTAGCTATTGGAGGCGCATGGTGAGTACCTAAGACCTCTATGCATGGATGAAAAAAATAGAAGTAACGAGTGAAACGAACGAAAAGAATAGTGCAGATTTGTGACACGGGCATGGCCGTGTCACCTCAACAGACATTTCGAGGCTTTATACGTGACACGGGCTATGTGGCCGTGTCGCGCGTGCAAGCTGCTTTTTATATCTTGCCTATTTTGAAAAGGAGAAGGTTTTTGGATATTATAAAAGGCATATTTACCCTATTTTGAGAGGGGAGAACGTGGATACATAGGAAGAGGAGCCCTAGAACACACAAGAGAGGCAATTGAGAAGCAAAAGAAGATCCAACTACGAAGGGATCAAGAAGATTGAAAGATCGACGAGATTCCTAGTTTTTATTTCTTTTTTCTTTTGAACTTTTATTTATCATGTCGATTTCTAATATGTCTATGTATTTGATTTCAAACATGAATGGCTAGTTCACTTGATTCTAGGACTTGGTAGTAGATTAATATGTTGGGATTTTAGATACAACAACAACAACAAAGCCTTTTAGTCCCAAAAAAGTTGGGGTAGGCTAGAGATGAAACCCAAGAAAAACAGTGGTAAGAGAAACACAAAAAGGGCTCAAAACAAAATAAAACAAAACAAAACAAAACAAAACAAAGAAGAGATTGGAGCAAAAGAGAAAGGAGCAAAAGTCACGGTTCCGGCAGACCGGCACGTTGATCGCTAGCCTCCAAGCGCTCCTATCCACCACTAAATCCTTGGAGATATTCCAATTTTTAAGGTCTCTCTGAACCGACTCTTCCCAAGTGAGTTTAGGCCGACCTCTACCTCTCTTAACATCATCGACCCGCTGTAGAACTACCCTGCGCACTGGTGCATCAGGAGGCCTCCGTTGGACATGTCCGAACCACCTCAGCCGATGTTGAACCAATTTCTCGTCAATTGGAGCCACCCCGACCCTATCTCGAGGATATCCAGATTCTATCCCTTCTTGTGTGCCCGCAAAACCAACGCAGCATACGCATCTCTGCTACACTTAGTTGTTGGACATGTTGCCTTTTTGTAGGCCAACATTCAGCACCGTATAGCATCGCCGGACGAATCGTCGTCCTATAGAACATACCTTTTAGCCTTTGTGGCACCCTCTTATCAAAGAGAACGTCTGAAGCTTGACGTCATTTCAACCAACCGGCTGCAATTTTATACCTAACATCTGCATCAATGTCGCCATCCTTTTGTAGCATCGATCCTAAATACCGAAAAGTCTCCTTCTTGGCCACCACATGCCCGTCAAGGCTAACGTCACCATCATCATGAGTAGCCATGCTGAATGCGCACGTCATGTACTCGGTCTTCGTCCTACTAAGTCTGAAGCCTTTCGACTCAACGTGTCCTTCCACAGCTCTAACTTCCTATTTACCCCTGCCCTACTCTCGTCAACTAGCACCACATCATCAGCAAAGAGCATACACCAAGGGATATCACCTTTATGTCCCTTGTGGCCTCATCCATCACCAAGGCAAATAAATAAGGGCTCAATGCTGACCCCTGGTGTAGTCCTATTTTAATTGGGAAGTCGTTGGTATCGCCCCCACATGTTCGGATGCACGTCATCGCATCCTTGTACATATCCTTGATGAGGGTAATGTATTTAGATGGGGATTTGTGCCTTTCTAAGGCCCACCACATGACATTCCTCGGTACTTTGTCATAAGTCTTCTCAAGGTCGATAAAGACCATGTGCAAGTCCTTTTGGTCCCTATATCTCTCCATCAACTGACGTATTAGGAAAATCGCCTCCATGGTCGACCTTCCAGGCATAAACCCAAATTGGTTTTGGGTCACACTCGTCACTCGTCCTAGGCGATGCTCGATAACCCTCTCCCAGAGCTTCATCGTATGGCTCATCAACTTAATCCCACGGTAGTTACCACAGCTTTAAACATCACCCTTGTTCTTGAAGATCGGTACTAAAGTACTTCTCCATTCATCAGGCATCTTGTTTGACCGAAAAATGAGGTTAAAAAGCTTAGTTAGCCATACTAACGCTCTGGCGCCCAACCATCTCCACACCTCAATGGGGATACCATCAGGGCTCATTGCTTTACCTCCCTTCATCCTCTTCATAGCATCTCCGATCTCTGCCTCCCGAATTCTCCTCACCAAGCGTCTATTGGTATCCTCAAATGAGTCATCCAACTCCAGGGTAGGGCCCTCACTCTTCCCATTAAACAATTTGTCGAAGTACTCTCGCCATTTGTCCTTGATCTCCCCATCCTTCACCAATGGCCGATCCGCCCCATCCTTGATGCATTTGATTTGATTGATGTCCCTTGTCTTCCTCTCCCGAATCCTAGCTATCCTATAAATGTCCTTCTCCTCCTCCTTCGTGCCTAGGCGCTGATAAAGGTCATCATAGGTCTGACCCTTCGCTACACTCACGACACGCTTTGCAGCCCTCCTCGCTATTTTATAGCTCTCAATGTTGGTTGCACTCTTGTCAAGGTGGAGACGCTTGAAACACTCTTTCTTCACCTGAATAGCCCTTTGCACCTCGTCATTCCACCACCAAGTGTCACTCGCATCCTGCTTGCCTCCCCTCACACCAAGTACTTCTGCAGCCACCTTCCGTACACATGTTGCCACCTTTAGCCACATGTCATCTGCATCTTCTCCTTCTTCCCAAGGCCCCTCGCCTAGCATCCTATCCCTAAACGTCTGCGCCGCTTCCCCTTAAAGCTTCCACCACTTCGTTCTCACGGTCTTGGCACGTTTGTCCCGGTGGACACGTATTCAGAATCGAAAACCCGCCACCACCAGCTTATGCTGGGGGACAACACACTCCCCAGGTATCACTTTGCAATTATAAATTATTATGATTGATTGTTTTCTTGTAAACATATTCAAATATTTTGTTCTTATTCCATATTTAACACTTGATCAATGTTTTTACATGTTTGACAATATTGTTCATAATTCGAGAGATGAGTTCAATATTAGGCCTTTAATATTTGACATAATTTACTTGCTTGAATTGAAGGATTAACAGGTTGTGAGGATATTAGATCCTTTGTTCTATTTGGAGTTGAATTGCATGTGCTGAGTGGAGACGCTAATATATGTGATTTAATCTACGGCTTTATCGATCTCGAGAGGAACGATAAGTTAAATTTGTGATCATCTTATAGGTAGATAAAGAAAACATTTAATTGTGATGTTTTTTAAGTATCCTAACTATTTGTTGAAACCATAGTCTTAGAATCTCTCAACATCAACATACCCAGTATATTCCCAACAGGTTGGGGTCTGGGAAGTCAGTTGTACGCAGACCTTACCCTTGTAATTATACAAGGAGGCTGTTTCCATAGCGACCCAAGGTGCGTTGCGTCGTTTGATATATTTTTTTCTAGAAACTTCACTAATAGAAGAAGCACTAGAATTTAATTGAGTCATTTTGATCTAGTCCATTATTAGCACTATGCCAGGAGAATTGTCAACAATGACTCTTCCAGCTCCATATGCAATGGACATCGTCTTAGAATCTCTCATTCCCATTTGTCCTTTTTTTTTTAGTTAATTCTTTGTTCTTACATTATTTTCTTTTGATTTATTTTCTTAGTTAGTTAATCCACCTCATATTTAATTCTCTAAATAAAGTTGACACTACATAATCTTGTACTTGATATATTAATTATTTGGTCTCTTGAGATACGACCTTGCTTGCCACATACTACGAGCGAAGCCGTACACTTGCGGTCGAGCTTTAAAAATATAGGCGAACACTCCTCAGGGCTATCATTGAAAAAAATAAATAAAATTAAGTACGTAATGGCATAAGTTGAACCTCTTTTCCAAAATGACGTTGAAAGAAAGCACCAACACTGCAGACACAAAAACATAATTGTCATGCTTTCCGAGGTAACTAGAACTATACAATTAATAAGCTTGCCCCAAAACAGTATATATGGTACTGCTAAGAATTTACAACAGATCATTTGAGTATCATATAAATCTCAAGGACAATGAAGAATGATAAGAAATTTCCCATCACGCACACTATGAAATTATCAGAGGAAACAGTTATTAAGATTTTTAAAAAATAAAAAAAAAAATATCGTTTTAGAGGCCCATCGAGGTAGTAAGCAAAGACCCTAGACATGTCAGGTGAAATTGCTAGAACTGGGGCTGTTATCAAGATAGGTAGTTCTATTGTTATTAAAATACCTTTCCTTTGTGTCAGGTTGCTTCGGCGCATCAGTATTCTTCCAAGAAAATGGTTCCGATAAAATTTGAAGCTGAAAATCGATAATCACATTTTATGTAAAATTCTACCAGAATGCTCAATGGATCTAACTTCCAGAAAGCACCAATAAGCAATTAATGAGGAATGTATAAGTGAAGACTTCTCTGGTGCGGGAAGAGTGATTAAGCAAACTTTATTCAAAATTTTAAGCTAGCATTTAGTTTATAAATAAAATATTTCATCACTTGCAGAAGAAAATTGGACCAAATCAATATGGAAGGTAGTTTTGGTCTTGAACATATCAAAATGACAGTTAGCAGTAACAACCACAAGGTCTCCAAATGAGATTGCAAGAACCTCACATGAGCAATTCCATAATGTATTATCCGAAACTGTAGAAAACACTTTCATGTTTTGGTGACTGGATAGAAGGACTATAATATTCCGGACAGCCATGCCAGAAGATGCCAAGTAATAACGAAGTGAGCATGTATGATACAATTGTAGTTTAAGAACTCTTGTACTGATAATTCTGCAGAAAACAGCCATCCTAACATTCCAAATGCTAGAAGAAGTTTAAATGAACAAATGAGGTACATAAGGTAGACCGACGAAAACATGTACCATACATAAAGATGTTCATGGATCGAAAACTGAGGGTTTTTGGAACAACCGATTTCAAAACGGGAAAAACCATAACAGAACAGTTCATGTCATGGTTTATAGCCGGTTTATGAACTGGAGGTTACGCTTCCAGTTCGCGTCAACTGCAGTTCGGCAAGTAATTTCCCCCCAAAAAATCAAAATTTTCAAAACCAGAGAACCACCATTTAGTTTGATTTCTCTCCAAATAAATATTCAAAACCGCAAGTTTTTCATGTGTCTGTGTGTGTGTGTGTGTGCGTGGACAGGATCGAAACCGTAACAGAACCACCAAACCACGGTCTCTAGTTTCGGTTTGAACTGGAACCATGGTTAACAGTTAACCAAACCGTTGACCTCCTGTTTGGCGGTTCAGTTCGAAACCTTGAACATATAGCCATTATTGGGTATTGGCACCACTTATTGCACAACCTGCTTTCAGCCAAAACAGATGATAGGTATTTGGGAGATGTAAAAGACATTGAAAACGAGTTCTCAGATCATTTGAAAAAACACATTATCATGAGATAATATTGCAAAGTCCTGCAAAGCTACATAAAGTCATTTCTACCAATTCCAGACTCAAATTAGGGAAGATAAAAGAAACTAAGTAAATAGCACAGCATACTCTGTTTCTCATATAAGCATTTAAGTATCAAATGGTATGAGCAAACCTTTGACCATGCAGAAAGCAAATTACTTGTGACAAGTGCAATCGGATTTGATGGTAGCTGCGGTAAGGAGAAAAAGAAAAAGAAAAAGAAAATATGTTAGCAAGAAAAGAAACATGAAGTTGTCCCTACTCCATTACAAACAAGAAGAGAGAAAATCAGCAGTAGAAATGTGAAAAGATCGTACAAGAACTGGCACCCCGTTTTTGGCTATATAACGTTTCTGCTGTGAAAGTGGCTGCATCACGAACACAGTTAAAATCACACATCTAAAAGATGGTGACAAAAATTAACATGTTCCTAGAGTAGACAAAAAAACGACTTGAAGAGCACGGCACGAGCTGTCGTGTATTGATAAGAGCAGAAACTTTCTCAACCAAAACAAAAGCGAAAATAAAAATCATACAAACTGTTGTTTGCGCCGAAGTCCAAGATTATCAAGTAAAAGTCCAACAGCTGCCTCGCTTTCAGTCTGCACACAACACAGAAGTTATGATCAGCAGCAAACATAGTTAGTGACGTAAACATGAATAAAATTCCAGAACAAATGGACTGCTGAGACTTGAAATTCCAAGAGAGAGAGTACCATAGTGTTTGCCCCCTCGTCCCATATTAAACCATCATGTAAAATGCTTCTCAACTTTCCTCCAGTTCTCCCATCAGCTTCAAATACAGTGACATCTAATCCATTCAACTTTAGCTTATATGCTGCAGAGAGCCCACTAAACAGAAAATCAAGAGAAATTGCTCAAATATGGGTGCATTTAAAGTGAAGCAAAAATATAGGAAAATAATAATAAAAAAAAAAAATAACATGAAGTAAACGAGAAAGGTAAGTAATCTATAGTTCATATGGTGGTATTCATGACAAGCATTTCCTCCCAGCAAGCTTGACTCTGTGATTCCCCCAGCTAACATTATGTAAACCCCATATCAAAAGTGCAAAATGCGGTTGGATGAAATTAAGAACGACATGGCTTAAGCCAACAATCTGATACTGATCACAAAATTACTGGTTCACGGTTTGCATACCTAACACCAGCTCCAATCACAGCTACCCTTTTAATAGATGAATCTGAAATTACAAACAGAGTATCAATCAATATCCAGAGTAAATTGCAGGCAGACAAAAAGATAAGAGATAAGACCTTGCTTATCTTGTTTAGCAGAAGAAGACATGGCGAGTGCAGTGACGCGAATTTTGGGTTGTTGTGCAGATGGTATTACAGCAAAACGATTTATGCAGTAATCATGTCTGGCGGATAATCGCATTTCCGTTCAAAATTGGTTTTCCACTCGGCGGGCAGGGAAAAGTGTGTGTGTTGGTCCTGTTGGATGGAGTCCGTCCGACTAATATTTGTCTGGGCCGCCACACGGGCTATCCATATGCGTAAAAGCCCAGCCCATATGCAACATGAACATTATTAATTAAATATTTACACAATTTTAACAAATTTCTAAATTATCTCTATATATGTTGAAAGATATCATATATATAAATATATCATTTATATATTTTTAAAAAATTTACATTTATTAAAACTATTTAATGATTTTATATCCAATCGGTAGGTCAATAATGATTCTAATAGATTTTCACCGATTTGACTAGTCAGCAACCAGTTCTTAACTGAACTTCTAACGGGTTCTAAGGAGTAGATCAAACCGATTAGATGAGTGTCAAGAACTATAAAAGGATGTGCTATTTATACATAAGGGGTCATGGACGTCTTGGAGAAGAAATAAGAAAGATTTAGAAATATTCACCACACGATTATTTTAGATTTGGAAGATTGACTATTTTAGGAAAATAGTGTCCCAGTACGATTTCGTTATCGAAATTTTGAACTTCTCCAAATCACATACATGAATTTTACTTGAAGGAAACTTACTCTAAAGGAATGATGTTGAATATCACGTCAATCTAAGGTGTCCTTACCTAGTTATGATTTGTATTTTGTCACATATATTAGAACACGAAATCTAAAGATAATAACTGAGTTTTATTGTTCTCTCTTGAGCATATTGGGTTCGTCTATACTCGGAGAGTTCGTGAATTTGCTGATTATTTTATAACTTGTGAATTCATGATTTTAATTTTGTGTTACAACATCTATGAAAGACTGAATTATAGGACTTTGTACTTTGGGTATTTTAAGCCTGGAATGATTCATGTAATAGTTGTTAGTTCATGTTGTAGCCAGTGAAGTAGTTAGTAGGATCGGATAAAATTGTGGTAGGTTTAGGAAGGAGTCATTTACTTGTAATTCCGAATTGTATATACTGCGGGAGACAACCAATTTTCTAATAAAAAAAACTATATGAGGCAGTGTGACGCTCCTCAAAGACAATTTTTCAATTGTCTCTTATGCTTATATTTTATGTTCTTACACACGTGGCGTACTTTAGTTTCAGACCCATTTTTTCATTTTGGTTCAGAGTTCTTTATCATTGGATTGTTGATTAAGAAAAATACAAATCAACACTGCAGTAATGTCACTTTCTCTCTAGAATGGATGCTACGACATGCTTCAATCCATACAATTTTAAAATTGAACCTTATTGTTAACTAACTGTATTGTAATTGAAATCGTGTCTTCCTAAATTATTATAAATATTTCTCCATTGATTAAATTATTTTTCAATCGTTTTGCTTTGATAACTTAAGATTATATTTTATAATTATGTTCAAAACAAGAAGATAAGCCATAATAATCATAAACAAAATATCAAGAATGACACATTTCGAGTTTTGCTCGGTTTCTTTGGCTCCTTATAATAGAAGAGAGAGGATATTAATTGCTTAAATTATGGGTTAAACCGGTCCTTCAAAA